GTCGTCGTCGTCGTCGTCTTCTTCTTCTTCTTCTTCTTGTTTTTGCGTGCTGTCAGCGTAATGACGTATTTCCGTTTCTTCCGGTCTGTTTCGGAGGTTCATTACCGGTTCAAATGTCCCCAACGTGGCTGCTGCTGTTTTCCAGCGTGTGGACTTAATAGCAAAGGAAGTTTAGTGACTGTGGAGGAAAGCCAACAGGTAAACCATGTTTATAATGACGTAAATACGGTTCAATGACTTGTTAAACGCACAGCCTCTGTGTCTAACCTATGAGGCTTTAACTTTAACAGCAGGTTTACAGGTTGTCTTTGCTGTCGCCTGCCCAGCTTTAATAACCTGCCTGTGTATGTGTGTTTTCCCTAATAGTGATAACAATGGGTGAGTTCAAGGTGCACCGTGTTCGGTTCTTCGACTATATGCCCAGTGCTATCCGAGCCATGGCGTTTAACAGCCGCACCGAGCGACTGGCTGTGGCCCGAGCTGATGGAGCTCTGGAGATCTTCAACTTCTCTGATCACTACTTCCAAGAAAAGGTAAGGGCGAAGTTCAGATCACCTTCCCACATGATCTGCTGAATTCGGCACATTGTATTAACAATGTTATTCAGTGAAGTCTCATGAGTAAGCTTCGTCCTGTGCTTTTGGTTTATAAAAAGCTGTGGTAATGTGAGTTTAAAGAACAGTAAAAGTCTAATGTAATAACTGCTATAGTATGCCGTATTAAAGAGTGCTCCACAGTGCTACTTTAGAAGTGTGAAGTCGCATTCTCCTTTCAATGCATCTTTGCAGATAGACAAAGAAACACTTAAAGGCTCAATTTGTAAATGAAGTTTTGTGCTTGAAGATAAGCACTTACAGCCGGAGGTAAGATGTGCAGGTATAACCTCCAGACTTTTTGATTTCGATCCACAGGTCATCCCAGGACAGGACGGCAGGGCTGTTGAGGCTCTGTGTTGGGTGGGCCAGCGTCTGTTCAGCGCTGGTTTGAATGGAGAGATCACAGAGTACGACTTGGAGAACATGAGGCCCAGGTACACTGTGGAGGCCTACGGAGGACCAATCTGGACCATCAGTAGCAACAGCCAGGGAACGCTGCTAGCGGTCAGTCAAGACCTTGTGTGATATTGTATTTACTCTGTGCTTCATGTTAAAAATGTTCCACCCTGGTTATTGTTTATTTAAGTAATAAGCCTTTAGCTCTGATTTAATAATTGAATGTTTTCTGTTCCAGGTCGGCTGTGAGGATGGGACGGTTAAGATGTTTGAACTGCTGGATGAGAGGATTCGGTTTCAGAGAAACCTCGAGAGGCAGAAAGGTAAGAGAACAAGCTGATTCAGAGGTATTTTTCTTTCTCTTTCGACTCTGTTCATATTATATTTAATTGTATTTATGTGTCCAAAATGTAAGTAAACTGATGATCATTTTTGTTTTCCTCCAGGGACAAATTGTTGTGTGTCATTTTGGACCCTGCTTGTGACACTGTGCTTCATTTTGTTTTATGTGATTCTCTAGGTCGTATCATATCTCTGTCCTGGCATCCCTCTGGTACACTGATTGCTGCTGGCATGATGGACATGATCAGAATCTTTGATGCAGAGACAGGTAAGGAGATGCAACTTGATCCTGGAGTGATTGGCAGCAGAGCCTACTATCAGTTTTAGTTCGGTGTCTGTTAAATTAAAATTTCCTTAAATAGCCCCTAATGATGTGATTGTGACCCCTCGGTTTGATTTTGCCAACTTCAGGCCACACCACACACAGACTGCTGGTGGAGAGAGGCGCTGGAGCGTCCAAGAGTAAAGAGGTTGTGGTTTGGAGCATCGCCTTCCTGTCTGATCACACAATCGTTAGCGCCGATTCTGCAGGGAAGGTCCAGATCTGGGACGGACTCACAGGAACTCTGGTCAAAACTCACCTGGTCACCAAATGGGATGTCCTGGCTCTGGCTGTTTCACAGGTAAGTGTTGGGACGTATTACACAGCCTGTAGGCTAAAGGCAGTTCCCTACAGAATCAGTGACGTTAAACTGTCTGTATGATTACCAGGATGAGAGCAGTCTGGTAGCTGGGACGTCGGAGGGCACAGTCGTCCAGTTTCAGTCCATCGCCTCCACCGTGGACCAACAGGATAAGGAGTGGGTCCGAACTAGGACCTTTAAAAACCACTCGCATGATGTGAGGGCGCTTGTCCACACCGAGACTGCTGTGGTATCTGGAGGTCAGTGTTGGATTGATGTAAATTTTTCTGCACCCATTAAACACAAAGTAGGGTCTCAAATCATCACACTTTAAAGTCATTTTTATAAAATAACTTTTGTCATATTCACTGAAACTTTCACTATATCCTGACAGTAGTACATGAGACACGGTAAATCTGTGAAACAATCAGGGTTCCTCTGGCTCCTCCAAGGTCCTAGATGGGCATTGCGAGAATCCACCGCGGCCTGAACGAAAACAACCAATCAGAGCTGAGGAAGATAGTTCTGTCCCAGGTCCCTCGGCCGAATGAGACTCTACTGGCTCCGAAAAGCCTTCCAACCCAAAGTGGTCGTTTATATGTTCCTTGACTCTGCATGGCTTGTTTTTGTTCAGGACTGCACAAGCTTACTAGTTAGTAAAAGAAAAAAAATATCATTCCATCCAATCGTTCATCCTTTTATTTAAAAAATGTGAACAGGGCAGCAAGCATATAATGTTTTGACGCTTCGTAATCTGTTTCAGCGTATGGACACCAAGGCTGGTTTAGTGCGACCCCTGCCCTGGGACAAGCGTGGGGGGAGAAGGAACACCCACGAGTCAGGCAATGCCGCAAAATAGCTTTCCCACATGTGAGTTACATATTTAATACAAAGAAAACTCTCACCAATATGATTAGAATATAAGAAAGCACTTTTTAAGGCCACTGTAAAACATGACTGTTCTCATGGTGACATTGCTTCCTCGTCTTTCTCTATGTAGAGAAAGCCTGGTTTGCTTTGTGTAAGAAAGCAGGGGACTGCTGCTCTTCAGTTCCCTGATCATTTAGAGCTGTGGAGAGTAGGGAGACCGCAATGGGACTTGGTGAGGAAAACACACACACACACACACACACACACACACACACACACACACACACAAAAATATATATATTTTGCATTATGCTGCAAGAAATGGCACACATTAAAACTGAAGGAAATCGAATAAACAGGAAAAACAATAGTAAAATTCATCTTTATGTGATTGAACAGTTGTACAGTGTCCCCATTGAGCCAGTCTGTACTATGTGTTAACAGGAAAGCCTGGTGACAGTCTACCTGTGAAGAGAAATCCAGAGAAACTGATCCAGCTAAAGAGGAAGGTGTGTATCATGGTTTAACATTATGACATCTGTATGGCTTAGTGGAAGCTGAACTCTACTCGTTCAGTTGTCTCCTCTGAAAACACGGCTGCGTGATGATGATCATGAAGTTGCGGTAATTTAGCAGTACGCCTTGCTGAAAAGAAAACGAGGCGTCTTCCATTTGGTTAACCTTTCAACCAGATACTGTAATGTCCTTGTGCAGCAACTCCTGTTGAGGTGATTGGTTCATTCTTGTCACATGTGGTATGAGTTAAGATTTTTCACCGTGGACACCCGAAAAGACAGGCCTGCCACAACAAAAGCGCGCTGCAAAAGCGTCGCTTTGGCTTTGAGCGCACTTTTCACACGTCTTCATTAAAAATAAGAATTTTTGACAAAACAGCGCCATAAAAAGATGATAGATAGATAGACTTTATTAACTTTATTAAATTACAGGTAAAAGAGGTAATTGCTCATTTTGACACAGATAAATCTTACTAATGTATTGTCCG